TTTTAATTTTAATAGTGTGTTTAGCGGTATTCATTATTCTGAGAGGAATAAGACCATTTTTGTTTGCTTTTCAAATGACCGCGTTCTGTACATTTGTCGTTGAGGTTGGCTTCATCAAATAAAACTGGTGGCCCCTAGGATCGCAATTCAACTTGCCCCAACAATGTTTTCAGAATGATTGAGGAGTTCTATGTCACCAACCACTGTTACTCCGAATGCATTTTCGTCGCTATCCCCCCATTATCACTTTTGTATTTCTTCATCAAAGATGCGTTTTTCCTAAGTCAATTTTAAACCCATATTTTGCCAGAAAGTCGACACCTATTATGCATTCGTCGATGATATCCGGACTAAGAAATGAACCTCGGAAAAACAAGTGCCCTAGTGAACCATAAGGAGAATCTTTCCCATAGACTGGTGCTGTTCCTCCGGTAGCTGTATGTATTTGTTATCGTAATCGAAAGAAAGAGACTTCTAACAAATACACCCTACACTAGAAAATCCTAGAAACGCCCAGAATCTAGTCCGTTCGGTAGCACGTTAATACAGTATTGTTTGCACGAATAAACATTGTCTGCTTTTAAATGTAAGCAGGGAAAACATTGATGATGGAAAGGTTTCATTTTATAATGATGATGATGAGGAGGAAAATCGTTAGGAGAACTTTTTTTTCACTAAGTTTATCTTTGATATCATTAAGATACTGATATAATTTTAAACATAATGAATGGGACATGATGTTGAGTGAGTACAATAAGAGTTATAATGACAATGAATATTGCCGCGGTAATAATGACGAAACACAGATGATGAAACGATGGTATATCATGAAAAGATAGTTGAAAAATCTCAGCTATAGTTGAAATATCCTTTCCAACTTGTCATTATTTGAAAATATGACGTCATCAATAATCGTCACCGAATTTTATTACATAATAATATTTTAATTTTGATTGACAAAATTACAGCTATCAGCATTATTGCAATTACCATTATATTTTATTTACCATTACAGTGACTAACATTTTTATTTCATTGAATTTAGTCAATAATATTTGCTCAAATTCGATGCTCTTCTCAACGTTTGATAAAACATGCCAAATTAAAAACATTCCCGTGCGTGCTTTTGTTGTTGAACCGGTCACTATAGACTGTTATTTTGGTCGCCATCATCATCATCATTATAAATTTTTATTGCGTAACGCAACCATCATCATCTTCCTCCTCATCATCTTCATCATCTTCATCTTTATTATCTTCGTCTTCAGCGTCGTCATAGGTGTCATTAAAACCATTATTCTCATTGCCACGATCATCATCGTCTTTACCAATTTTTATTCTGTTATTATCATTCTACTATTCACTATCATCATCATTATCATTTTCATTATCATCATCATCAACATTAACACCATCGTCATCGTATCATCATCTTCAGGATCATCAACATTATCACCATCATCATATTAATAATCATCATCATTGCCACCATAATCATCGTAACCATCATCACATCACTCCACCACCACCGTCATCCTCAATGTTTCATCACCTCCATTAATTGTCTTCCGTATGCGTCCCACAAACTTAACACCATCTGGCGGTCCGACTAATCACCCAATGGATCCCTCGACGCAGGACCTCTGATGAAATATTTCTTCTCCTCCTCCTCATTCCATCCTCCAGCTGTCCCAGGTGGCTGTTGAATGTGTTGAAATTAACATAATTAATATAATTATTATAATGTAATGTGGGAATGAATTAACATAATTTAATTTAAAATATGCACCAAATTATTAAAATGTAATGTGGGAATGAATTAACATAATTTAATTTAAAATATGCACCAAATTATTATAATGCAATGTGGGAATGAATTAACATAATTTAATTTAAAATATGCACCAAACTATTATAGTGTAATGTGGGAATCAATTTCCACTCAAACTTTTTATTCACTAATAATAATTGTCAATATTTAAAAATATGAATTATGCAATGTTTTCAGTTGGACAAATAAAAATTATGCATATTATATTATATATATATATAATAATTAATTATAAATATTTTTACAAGTGAGGGAGCAAGAGACACATAAAAGTAGAGGTACAAATGATAATGCAACGTGGAAGTTGATAAATTATGTAGGTGGGTCAAGTGCGTTTAAATGGCTGCAATTAAAAAAACATAAATCAAGATGGGACTTGGAAGGAAAAACACTAAATGAAGGCAGCAGCAGTAGTAGCAACAACGGCCACTCATAAATATGTTGAGGACAGGAGTGTTGTATGGCGTGGACGGCTGTTCTGTGGACCTGGAATTTATATTTTCACCGAACCGCGCGTAGATTGCTTGTGTTGGCTTCGTTTACTTCCTGGTTCTTATTCAGAACTATGATCTAAGATAATGCTAGAAATATATTTCCGTGCATCGTTGTGTATGTGTTGTGTTTGTGTGTTTGTGTGTATGAGTGTGTGTGTGTGTGTGTGTGTGTAATATTTCAGGTGTGTTCGTGTTTGTACCTGTCTGGAGATCTAATGTATTCCATATGTCTCCATGTGGAATGAATGCAATGAAAAGCAGGTATCAACGTTTGCGGGTTCCATTTTAACGCGATTTATTAGCATTAAATTATTCTTAGTAAAAAAATTAAATTTGTTTTTAATGTTAGTGAATGTCGCCTCTGAAGACTGAAGCAAAGATTGTAACGAGGGTTTTGAATGCAAATCTCAATAAATAATCTGTTGCTATGTATTAAAATCAGGCTTACATTATGAATTCCAAAATATGCATAATTAACAAGCACGTCAATGAAACTATTCAACCACCTCACACGTCGGACGCAAATAAGTGACAATTCCTTCACTGAATAAAATCATAGCAACCATGAACTATTTTTCAAAATATTATAAAAAATGTTCAGATTTGAAGAATACTGTACTGTCTCGTGATGCGGTTGGGAGAGGTTTGTCTGCAAGAACAATTGATGGTATGCGAAGTTCTGCTGTAAATAAGGTTTAGAAGTTGGTAAAATATATTTATATATGGTGTCTGATATATTTTCTGAGTTTGTTTGTAGATATTTGTGCGCAGAGTTAAAAATGGCGTTGAAAAAAAGGGAGAATAACGTATTCATATTTGTTTCGGAAATGTTGAAAATTATTTTCGCCAATGTCAGCCCGTTGCATCAGATGCGTGCGAACAAAAGAAGCATCGGGAAATTAAATAGGAAAAATGTACATTCGTTGTTTACATTCGTTGTTGTAAGTTTGTTGTTGTACCTTTGTTGTTGTTCCTTTGTTTGTTGTACGTTTTTGTTTGTTTGTTTGTTGTAGTATGTATCTTAAAATTCTATGATAACAACGTGTACACCTATATCTCTGTTTGTTGAAATAACTTTTTCATATAGAAGGATTTAATTCATTTTATATTTCTTATTCAATAAATGTTTCTTCTTTCGTAATAATTATTAAAGTTTTTTCCACTCCCAACTTGGAACAACGTTGGCTGCGGAATGGTTTGCAGTAGTGACTACAAAATTATTGAAATGTACGACGGTACCAGCACATGCGCAGTCATTAAAACGATATACAAAAACTTTGAAGTAAAAATAAATGGAAAATTTATTAGATTTTTACATTCAGAGAGCAGATAAACGTGGAAATCATAAAAAAGCCACCACAAGCAAACTTCAAACGAAATTGAAAAAAAAAACGAAAATTTTTATTGTTCCACCTGTCCTTGAAAATAATTCTTTTGTTAAAACTGTTTCCACCATTTTTTTAAAGTCGCCGATGTATTTGTTTGTTGTACGGTTGTATTTTTTTGTATTTATTAATGAATAGTACTAAATATCATTGTAGATATTAAACATATTGTGAATGTTTTCCGTGATTACGTAGTAGAAATCATTTAAAATTACATTGTCCAGGTTTCGAGTGTTAACACAAAAATATGTATATAAACTGAACGTATAATTATTGCATGTAATTTTGAAGTGCTTGATGTGCAGAAAATGTTTCGTAACAGTTGTTTATTTCCTGACTCGTCGTGTTTTGGAACCCTGGTCAGTCGGAGCATTAACAATGAATTGTTAACAGTTTGGCAGAAGTTGTTTTAGAAATTGGCTAAATATTTGTGACACGAGAGTTGTTAACAGTCGGAGAAGTTATAATGGTGATGAATGTGTCAGATGTGTGGCTGGATGGCTGGCTGGCTGGAAGCATCGGTGGATGGACAGGACACGATGCAATGATGTGGCCGGTGCTACGTAGTTTATTGTCCAGTTTGAAAAATGAATTTCGATGAATGTTGGTATTAAGAAAGAAGAAAGATGAACAGCCATAACAGTCCAATCATGTATTGGTGCTTCAATAAATAATAATAAATATTTTTAATGAATTAATTCTATCATACATGTAAAGAAACTATATTTCTTTAATTTTGATTTTGTCGCGCATTGCGCGATTGATAATACACTGCGAATTTTTTGTCTGGGGTTTTTGTTGATAGGTTAAAAGAAAACCTAAAAGTAAAGTTTAATTAAATATATTTTGTGACAAACTGATTATAATTTGTGAAATAATAAACTTTAAATGTCGTTTCTTTGTTTTCAGGTGAGTTTTTTTTCTCCAACAATGATTTTTTTTAACATTTAACAAAATAAAATCTTTGTTTTCAGAAGCAACACATTTGTTTGTTTGAATCATAAATTATAATCGAAACTCTTATAAAACGACATTTCCGTTTATTGAGAAACCTAAATGAATTATAAAATGGACCAGCAACGATTTGAATTTGCAGTGTTGCCAGCGAGTGATGGAAAGTCAAATGTATATTGAGTAACCTCCATAACGACAAGAGATGAAAAAGTGTTTGCTATTCCAGAAGAATTACAGTCTGTTAGTCTTCATAAAGAGTTGATAAAGACAGCTGCGTACAATAAAATAAAAAATAGTTTAAAAAAAAGACATTAGACGAGAAAAATTTGGATTACAATGACAAATGAACTAAGTAACGTGTACATAGATGAAGATGGTAATCTACAATTTGGAGATCAATATCTCGAAGAAATTGAACAAAAGCAAGCATCTGGTAATTTAAGAAAAAATACAGATTCATTGGAAAAATTATTTACAAAATTTATTGAAAGCTCACAAGATTTAAAAAAACAGAACCTGAAATATATTGCAGAAAAGTTTATAATTGAAAGATTTACAAGTAAAAATACTAACCCAAGCCAGTGGATTGATGTTTTTGAAAAAGAATGTTTACGTTTCGATATTACGGAAGATGAGAAAAAAATTGAGATACTCAGACTATTCATGGACAAAAGTTGCGCTGATTGGTATAGTTCTATGATTATAAAATTAACACTAAACTCAGAGTGGTCTATATGGAAAAATAAATTCTGTAAATCATTTGCAAATCAAGGCTGGAACCAAGTGACTTATGCGTTGTTATTTAAGTACAAAGATGGTTCATTGGTGGATTATGCTATAAAAAAAGAAAAACTTTTACTGGACATGAGAACATCAATAGATACAGGTACTCTAGTGGATCTAATTGCAGCTGGATTGCCAGGCTTTGTTCTAGAAAAGATAAATAGACAATCAATGGAAGATACAGTAGACTTATTCAATGAAGTAAGAAAGTATGAACATTTGATGAATAAAAATAAGAATGGAGCCTACACGAGATACGAAAATCAGAAGATATATAACAAAATTGAGGAACGTACTGCATGCAAAATATGTGAACGGTTAAATAAAGGTATACGCTACCATCCAGAAGCTGCATGTTGGTTTAAAATGAAAGATAATAATAAATTTGATAGAAGATATATAAAATATGTCAACAATTCAGTGATTGAAGCAGAGTTAAATGAAACAAAACAAAAAAACTAATAGTAACACCATTAATTAAAGTCAAACTCATAATAAATTCTAAATTAGAGATATATGGAGTGTATGATTCAGGTTCGAATGTTTCTCTAATTAATTCAAAATTACTAAAATTAAAAAACGAGAATAATAATGTAAATGAACAAAATTTAGTTACAATTAATGGTGTTAAAAAAACTTGTGGTTTGACGAAGCTAAAAATTAAAATTTTCGAAATAGAAGAAAAAGTAGATGTTTACATTATTGATGATGCGCATTTCAGATATGATTTTTTAATAGGATTAGACATGATAAAAACATACAAGTTAGTACAAAATGAAAAGTTAAAAATTACTCAAAAACTATATTTTCAACAAGAAAATATTAAAAAAGAAGAAAGAATAATCAAGAGAGAAAACGAGGTTAACAAATATGAAAAGGAATATAAAATAAATTTTAACGAACATATTAAAGAAAAAGAATTTGAAATAAAAGTAAACCATTTAGATGAAACAAAAAGGAAAGAGATTAATAAGCTAATACAACGACATAAATCAGTTTTTGCCAAGGACAAGTATGACGTAGGAACAGTTAAAGGATATGAAGCAAGAATAGATTTGTTATTAGATAAATACTGCAGCAAGAGGCCATATAGAAGCACTATAAAAGACAAAAAAGAAATAGCAGAACAAATATCAAAATTATTAGATAATAAGCTAATAGAGGAGTTCTATAGTCCATTTGCAGCACCAATAACTTTAGCATTTAAGAAAGAAGAAAATAAAAAGTCAAGACTATGTATAGACTTTAGAGATTTAAATAAAATTGTAGTACCACAGGCTCAGCCATTCCCGTTAATTGATGACCTAATAATAAAGACAAGGAATTGCAACTATTTCACAACTCTAGACATAAACTCCGCTTTTTGGTCTATACCACTTAGAGTAGAAGACAGAAAGAAGACAGGATTTGTAACACAAGAAGGACACTTCCAATGGATTTGTCTACCGTTCGGTCTGAAGACAGCACCAGCAATATTCCAAAGAATATTGAGTAATATACTTAGAAAATATAAACTTACTGAATTTACTGTTAATTACATTGATGACATCTTGGTATTTTCAAAATCTTTCGAAGAACACATAAAACACTTGAAACAGTTGCTAGAAGCAATTCAAACAGAAGGATTTCGCTTAAAATTTAAATAATGTACATTTGCATCAAATTCTATCAAATACTTAGGACATATTATTCAAAAAAATTCGATACAACCAATAAAGGACAACCTAATTTCAATAAAGAATTTCCCAATACCTAAAACCCAAAGGAACGTTAGACAATTTTTAGGAAAAATAAATTTTTATCACGAATACATACCAAGAAGTGCAATTATACTAGATTCTCTACATAACTTACTTCGGAAAAATCAGAAATTTGTTTGGTCTGAAGAATGTCAACAAGCATTTGACAAAGTAAAGAGTCTCTTATGTTCACAGACGATACTAGAAATATATATGATCAGAATCTACCAATTAACATCTATACCGATGCGTCATTGGAGGGCGTTGGTGCAATTTTGAAACAGGTACGAACAGATGGTAAAAAAAAACCAGTAGCCTATTTTTCAAAAAAGCTTAATGAAGCACAAAAAAAGAAATAGAATGTTTGGCCATCAGGGAAGCACTGAGACATTGGCAGTACTGGTTAATAGGAAAATCATTTACAGTTTACTCAGATCACAAACCTTTGGAGAACATGAATTTGAGAGCAAGAACAGATGAAAAGCTGGGTGACCTCACTTATTACCTTTCACAGTATGACTTCAAAATCAAATATTCCCCAGGAAGAAAAAATTTAGAAGCAGATTGTTTAAGCCGAAACCCCGTGTTGGAACCAGAAGAAAATATAGAAGATCAATTAAAAGTAGTGAATTTAATTAAGTTGGAGGATATTATGATAGATCAGAATAAAAATGAAAAAATACAAAAAAACAAAAACAAAATAATTGAAAAACATAATGTATACTACAAAAAAATAAGAAACAAAGATAAAATAATATTAACAGAAAAATTCAGTATTAAGCTTATAAAACGAATACACGAGGATTTATGTCACATTGGAGTTCGACAAATGCTAAAGACTGTTAGTTCAATATATGTATCAAAGAATTTAACAAAAAATATAAAAGATGTTTGTAAGAGCTGTGAAATTTGCATAAAGAACAAAACAAGAGGACAAGACAAATACGGATTAATGTCACATCTAGGGCCGGCCACAAGACCTCTTGAAATAATATCAATAGACACAATTGGCGGTTTCGGTAGTTCAAGATCAACCAAGAAATACCTACACCTTCTAGTAGATCACTTCACTAGGTACGCATTTATTATAACATCAAAAACCCAGAATGCACATGATTTTATAAAACTAATAAATAAGGTCACAGAATTACAAAAGATTAAAACACTCCTCAGCGATCAATACCCTGGAATAAATTCCAAAGAATTCAAGCACTTTCTAAGTGACAACCAAATAACGATGATATTTACAGCTGTGAATGCGCCTTTTTCAAATGGCATAAATGAAAGGTTAAATCAAACACTAGTGAACAAGATAAGATGCAAAATAAATGAAAGTGAAAAAAAAAGCTTGAACTACAATAGCACATCAATGTGTAGAAAAATATAATCAAACTATTCATTCAATAACTGGTTACGCACCATGCTATTTGTTTTATGGGACAGATGCTACAATCTTACCAAATGAGCTAAGTGAAGACTGTATACACAGTGACTGGATCAGAGATAAAGAAAGAGCTCTTAATAATACTCTGAAATCACACTACTATAACAAAATGTGCTATGATGCAAAAAGAAAAAATAGAGAATTTTAAGTTGGAGATATGGTTTATGTCGAAAATGGGAATAAATTAAATCGAAAAAAACTAGAAGAACTACGAATAGGACCATATAAAATAGAAAAAAAAATCAGATACCATGTATGAGATAGATACAGGACACAGCTTATTTCATATTTCAAAATTAATTCCAGTACAGATAACAAAAGATGAAGTTGAGGAGGATACAAATGAAGAAAAATAGATAAAAGCGTGATTCTGGCAGAAAATCCCTCATGTGAATTTTCTTTCTTGGGAGGGTAGATGTAAAGAAACTATATTTCTTTAATTTTGATTTTGTCGCGCATTGCGCGATTGATAATACACTGCGAATTTTTTGTCTGGGGTTTTTGTTGATAGGTTAAAAGAAAACCTAAAAGTAAAGTTTAATTAAATATATTTTGTGACAAACTGATTATAATTTGTGAAATAATAAACTTTAAATGTCGTTTCTTTGTTTTCAGGTGAATTTTTTTTCTCCAATAATGATTTTTTTAACATTTAACAAAATAAAATCTTTGTTTTCAGAAGCAACACATTTGTTTGTTTGAATCATAAATTATAATCGAAACTCTTATATACATATTCAAAAATAAGAATTTTTTAAATCTTTTTAACCAATAGACATAAAAAGATTATTTATTGTAAACAATATATATATATATATATATATATATATATATATATATATATATATATATATATATATATATATATATATATATATATTAGTACCTATATGTATATACATATACACACAGATATATATATATATATATATATATATATATATATATATATATGTATATATATATATATTAGGTAACGGAGATATACATATAATATAGGTACAACAACAAATGACTCAATTAACATATCAATCGTGTCCTGAGACATAGAACACAAACACAAAAAATATTATGGAAGAAATGCAGCGTACGTTCGACGCAGCCCCGAGAGGAAAGAGTTTCTAATTGGATGGAATATTCTCCTGCTTATTAGGCATGCACAGTCGCCAGCCAACATCATGGCTGTTCAAGAATCTTAAAATGTCTCTTTCATTGGTAGACAAAACAAAACAATGGAGACAACAACTGTGATGTAAAAGATAATAAAAAAAACAGCCTCAACAACCAACAACAACATTAACAACCAACATCAACGACAACAACACCAATACCAACAACAAAACTAACAACCACACTAATAACGGGCAACAGCAATGGATAACAACAACAACAAAAACGACGTCATCATCTAAGTCATGGCGAACAATTTATTCTACAACAACCATATAGAGAGCACTAGATAATGTTTTCAATAAGCATAAACAGGCGAAATTGCCGCGGTACTAAACACTGCTTTATCTTCAGGTAATGCAGATGGCTGTAGATCAAATTAATTACACGCTATACAGTGCAGTACGTATTCCTCTCATCGCTTTCCTGGTATGATGTGTTGTATCGCATGGATTTATGAACCTAATTACTTACTGGCTCTGTTGTCAGGGTTGTACAGTTAATATCTTTTAAAAAGAGTATAGTTATTGATATTGTTATTGTTACTATTATTAGCCGCAAAAAATTATTTCCACACTAACCTATCATAGTATTCAAACTTCTTCATATCATTAATATCACTTAATCAAATTTTCTATAAGTAGTGGTAGTGATGATAAGTATTACAATGTTTCGATAAATTATGTTCAAAGTATTAAAAATAATAAAAATAAATATACTCTGACACCGGCGGATAAACACAACTTTAACAGAGGGATGGCCAAATTTGGATTGCAAATTTGACAATGGGCCAAAAACTTCAACAAGGGGACCGACCATTTGGTTGGTATTAACCCAGCAAATTTTTAAATGTCATTTTGGCACATTTTTGGAAATCTCTTTATTTAAAAAAGTGTTTTCTATTTGTACCGACGGAAATTTTATTATTTAGTTTTAAAATTTGTTGATACATGTTGGCTAAACTTGACGTTTACAGTAATAATGGGGGACCATGGCCTTTCCTGGCTTCCCTAAACTGCCACTATACATTGATAATTTTGTTTGTTTCAGAAATCTTTTAACTAAATGACATGACCTGACAAGCCGAATTTACGCAGGAACATCTGCATTGGAAGAATTGCAAAAATGCCAACAACAACGACGATGAAGACAGCAACAATTTTAAAGGAGTCAAGCAGCAACATTGATACCAACTGAAACAAGATGAAACGCATGAAAATTGTTGGCAACAACAACAACAACAAAACAAGGATCCAGAAATTGCATTTCTGCTATTGACAAAAATACCAAAAATATAATTCAAAAATTTCATGAATAATATCTGCATGTATTAATCACACCTAATGAACAGCACTGAAATATTAATTGGGCGGCTGCATGGTGTAGCGGTAAAGTGCCTGTTCATACTATTGCAGTGACCAGATCCAGCCTACCTATCACATGAAATTTGTCCTTGCGTTGTTTCACTTGCATTTAAATGCACGTGTGTTTGCTGTTGGTGACTCTGAGAACTGTTGAAGAGAGATTCGTAAAAATAATATAATAATAGTAATATTGTAATAATAATAATAATAATCATTATTATTATAAAAATAATATACACAAATCAATGCAACAACCCATCCCTACTACATTAACAGCCACGTAGACAATCATACTCTAGTAAGTAATTAACAACAACAACAACATACAATAGAAAGAAAACAACAACGTGAAAACAACAACAATAACAACAACAACGACGACGATAAACAACATTTATTCCAAAATGCAACTGGAGTGTCGTCATTGGCGTATTTAATCATGAGCGGATGACTGTTCAGAGCACCCTTCATACCTTCCAACTCCATGAACTTATTGGAAACTGGTCTCAGGCTAAATTAACATTCAGGTGTTGGTTCTTTTGTCAGTGTTTGTTCCTCTGGTTGTTTCGTCCGTTAATGTAGTTGTTTTCTTGTTAAATACGTTTTTTTGTAATTTGTGGCAAGCTTGATGGTGGTGCTGTCGTGAGGTTTTGTTGTAATGACTTTTCGGTTTTTTTTGAAGATTGTACTGCTTATGTTGCTGTTAAATTGTAGCCCTGTTATACTTTTCAACACTTCACGTGATTTTTTGCAGAGTTTTCAAAAAAACTAATTCATTCTCGCCACTTTCGAGTTCCAGCCTTCTTAAATTTCCACAAAAGTTTTTGTAGAAATTTCAAAACGTGTCGTTAAGAAAATAAAATCAGCGGTTTTTCAAAAAAATTGTAAGACGAAACTGAACGACTACAGTGATTATGTTAGGATATGATGGAGCAGACAGCAGCAGCATAATTTTTTTTTATCTCAATAAGAAAATAAATGGCTAACGATGGTTTAAGAATAAATCATGGTAACATAATCTAATACTTAACGTTTCTCTTGTTGAAGCTGAATAGAAATTCAAATGTTTTTGTTCATTTTATTTTGACAAATATTACGTTGAAATGTTTATTAAACACTTAGTAATATTTTCTGAATTAAACAAATGAAATGTATAAAGATTCATAATAAACATTTGATTTTAATATATTAATTTTGTAAAACTCAGATAATGAAATAAAATAAAAAATTTATTTTTAGAAGGGAGATGATGCAACACGTCCTAGCCAGTGGTAGGAAGTTCGTCTCATCAATCACCGAACCCAACTCCTCCATTCAAACGAGGTTCTATTTATGCGGCGTATAAAAATTCAGATGGAAATAACATATTTGTAATCTTTTATTCTGTGCGTTTCACAAATTTTAATGGAAGCCATTCAATTTATTGTTATAATTCTAACATGTACATCGTACAGTTGTGTCAAAGGCGGTTAATTAAATTTATTAGATTTATAAAATATAACAAAAATACGGCAAAGTTTTTTTTAATCCAAAACTGATCATGGAATTTATTTGAGATGAAATTTTGCGAATAACACAACAACAGTTTGTAAAAATTTTAGCTGCCTTTTTATGTCATGAAACTGATGATAAAATATAAACCTGAATACCAACAATTTGCTTGAAAAAATAAATTTGTCATTTTTTCTGGAGAATGGCACTTCAAAAATACTGAGACAAAGCGTCACAAACATTTGCGCAGATGGAAATGTTTGCAATACCAAACAAATGTTTCCTCTCCTCTCTACAGTTGGATGAATAACAAATGGAGTTAGTGTCATAGATTCTAGATATTTCTTGTTATTTTTATCTCACATAGACACACACATACACGCATCATACATATACAACACACACACAAACACACCATACACACACACATACACGTTAAATGAAAAAACATACCTATAATCGCTTCCCATTAATCATAGGAAAAACTCGAAAACTAAAACAACCAACGAAATTATCATAGTAATCTGAACGGCAATAGTTAGATTTCATTTTTTTGAGGCGGTTCAATATTCGAGAATTTTTTTAAAAATGTGGCCAAACATACGGCGAACTAACTTCACAGGTTACAAATCGGAAATGTTTGGCTCGAAACAATCTGGCCTCTCAGCAAATATTTTGAAAATCACAGCACAACACACCGCGGTAGTTGTACAAATGAATATTCCATCATTACGTGCAAGTTAGTGGTTGGATTTTCATGTGTGTGTACTTGTAAATACTTATGCATCCCCTCAAATAAAATATAAATTTATACATAAATATATTTGTATATAAATAAACATGTATATATATATATATATATATATATATATTTACAATATTCTAAAAATTCTACCGAATGATTGGCGTTAATATGTATATCTAGGGAAATATTGACTTTGTCAAGATGAACTTTGACGTTGTAAAAATTAACTTTGGTCTCCTTTCCTTCATCGATAGCATCATATTCTTCTGTATATGCGTGTAGTTGCTGTTCTGGTATATTACTTTGGTGTTGCTGTCGAGGATTTCACGGCTAATTGTGATTGAGTGTGTTGAGTCCAAATGAGATTTGATAGCACCA